GGTAATTTAGTTTGTAAGTTCATTTAGTTTTTTTATTTATTTTATTTTATCACCTTGAAACTTTCTACTATATTATTAAGGCAACCTAAAATAACTGGTATTCCACCTACATACCAGCAAAAAGCAAATTAGTAAGAGAAGTAGAGACTTCAAAAAGTCCATTTTAATTTTGTCAAACAGGCCGGCTTGAATACTCTGAGACACTAATAGATTGAGTTTTATTATTATCTGATTGTAGCACAAACAATATAATTAAACCACCAAGGACCAGGAATTGTCTAAATACCACCGTGTTACAGAAACAAAAAAGTGGCTGGTAAAAAGTTTGAGTGGCCAGAAAAAAAAAACGTTTTCTACCAGCCACTGTGGCTGGTGGGGAAAATTTTTAATTTCCACCCCTGATAAAAGTATCAAAGTAAGTATTTATCAGGAAGTATTGAGTACTTGTACTAGTACCAGTCTGTCCTCACCTTGTGGTACTCGGGGTAGAGGAGTTTGGGCAGCTGGTTGAAGATGAGGTCCGGGTCTGTGACCGAGCGCCTGAAGGCGTGGTACACGGGCGCGTTGAGGTGGCGAGCGGCCAGCACGGCGTCGGCCGCCGTTAGCCCCGCCCCCACCACCAGCACCGGGTCCGAGGACGGGTCCAGCTCGCCGCGGGAGATGGCCGCCTCCAGCTCCCAGAAGGAGTGGCAGACGAACGGCAGCGCCTCGCCCTCCACACCCAGCCTGGCGGGGATGTCGTGCGTGCCCGTCGCCAGAACCACGCTGTGGGCCAGCAGCGAGAACGGAACCTCCTCCGGAACCGGATCTAGAACCAGATCGTCARCTTAGTCATCTCTAAATAAACCGTTAACTTGAAGGCGGTGCAGCGACTCTGGCCGTACCTCCCGGAACCTCGGCCTCCCTCCTCTGCAGTCCCACCACTCTCCAGCAGGGCGTCGACCCAGACTCCTCCCTGCTCACCGAGGTGACGGTGGTCCCGCAGGCGAAGTTCTGCCCCAGAGACATCTGGGACACGTAGTGCTGGTAGTAGGAGGCGATCTCTGCGGGCGTGGCGCGGTCGTTCCTCACGTTCCTGCAACAGAAGAACAGTTTTAACCAAACGCACAGTGCTGGCCACAGTTCCCCTAAAGCACTAAAGCACTAATGGAAGAACTAACTTCCTGATTCCAGTGTTGTACAAAGTACCACAAAGTGATACTTGAGTAAAAGTACAAGTATCTTACCAAAAAAT